CACGCTAGCTTTTTTTTTTTTTTTTGAGTTGTGACTCTCTTTCAATCTCTAGCCCCCACACTAGGGTGGCGTGGTGATTGTTTGTGAATCGACAACGCACACTTTGGCACTGCAATCTACCTCATTTTAATTTGCTGGAGCATACTGCAGTGTTGGCGGTGCAGATTATGGATCCGTGAGAATAGGTGCGTTCATGGGTAGGAAGATAATAAAGTCCATGGCATCTGAGCATTTGAAATCCTCATTATCAAACAACAATACTTCACAGCCAGTCAATGGGGTGAACTCCTGTGAAATGGAGGGTAATGGCATGGATTTGCTCGAAAATGAGGCTTCACTGGATTACTTGTGCAATTTGTCACCTCACCGGTAATATTTAGTTTCTGTGCTTTTGTACTTCTTGGATTTCATTCTCATTTTATTAATATAGGAGTCTTTATCCAATTTCAGATACGAGGCATCTTATCTGACTAGGCTTCCGGAGATTCTACAGGGCAATGATTTTGTGGAAAATTATGTTCATCATGATGATTCAGTAACAATAATTAATAAAAGGCACAAATATGCAGTAAGAGCGCCCACCAGACATCCCATATATGAGAACTTCCGAGTCAAGGTCAGTCATTTAACAGCTATTTTTATGCTGTCGGAGTTTAAAATCTCTTGTGCGTAAATAGGGAATTGTGATTATAAGCTATTTCTATAGTTGATGGTAACTGATCTCTCAATTTATTATGGTTATGTTCGACTATTTTTTTGAAAAATAGATTTCGTAATAGTGATTTTTTTGTTAAGAGCGTGTAGTTAAAAAGTAGGAAAAGTTTTGGATTTACGTGCAAAATTACTTTATTGAAAAAATGTATGGTTGAAATTTTGAAAATGAATATTTGGAGAATGGGGCTCAAACAGCGTTATATATTTCTTTCCTATGTAAAAATTATTGGTCATACTTTTCACTACAAACATATTATATATTAACTGAAAAGAAGTTTTTTAGTAACTCATTTCTGAGAGATTGCAACTAAGTGTCACGTCTAGAAAATTACACTATAATTATGAATATTTTAATCTATTTTCTTATGTCAAATTAAGAGGACAATCAGTCAGCTGCCAATCAAATCTATAAGTTGTTTTTAAGGAAGCTGGTGTACTCATATATAATGATGATGTTATGTCCACGTCGTCATTTGCTGAACCAAAATTCACAGTTGATACGGCTTCAGTAAAAAGAGATTTTTATTTTTTATTTTATTTTTGTTCAAGAATTTTGAGAGAGCAGAACGAATTTGAGACACATCAAGTACTGCCATTTGCATTACATAAATCTTGTGATAGACAATGTGAAATTTTGTCAATTAGCAAAAGCTGCCTTGGTTTCTAAAGCTCAGACGAAGTACAGCTGCTAACAAGAGAGACGGGATTATTTAGAGAACCATGTAAAAATTTTGATCTTGTACATTTTGGTGTTTCGCTCATGAATGGGGTTGAGTTGTCGAAATGGTGATATGCTAGAAAGCTACTTTCCTATGTACGTGTTCTTCTATTTTTCTGCAAGGCCCTGGTGTATACTTGTGCAGTCTGTTTCCATTATCTTTCAATGGCGGTACAACCTGAGAAGGCCCTTTTCTTTTGGATTGAATATTATATAATTTTTCCATGACCATCTGTTGGTTGCTACCTAGGCTTTCAAGGCATTACTGTCTGCAGCTTCTTCGGACGATCAACTTTCGGCTTTAGGAGAACTTATGTATCAGGTATCTGGCCTTTCATCTTTTCAATGCTTTGTTTGCAAGCACACACATTCGACCTTGGAACTGGATTTAGTAATCCTTTAAAAAGGAATTATTTTATCACTTCATTTCAAATCCCCAATTCAAATTCACGAAGCAAAATTTTGTTAGCAAATGAAGATTCATTTCAAGGATCCAGATGCCTTTAATGCCATTGCCCCTTGTATGATTGCTCTATTTCTTTGCATCATCTGTCATAAATCAAACTGGCGAATATTTATCTAATCCAATCTCTCACTGACAAATTTTATATTTCAGTGTCATTACAGCTACAGTGCTTGTGGACTTGGGTCACACGGGACAGATAAGCTGGTAGAACTGGTACAGGAAATCCAGCACGGGAAACTCTCGAAGTTCGAAAATGGAACTTTATATGGGGCAAAGATTACCGGTGGAGGTTCTGGTGGAACAGTTTGTATTATTGGCAGGAATCGTTTAAGAAGCAGCGAACAAATTCTCAAGGTAGACTTCAAAATCTTGCGCCACAAATCCATCAGAAATGAACAGAGCATTTCATTTCTAGCATGCTTTTCATAGACTTTGCACAAGTGATATATAACAGAAAGCCATTAATAAATTAGAGATAATGTGTGTGGTTCATTTTCTAGTTTGGAAGATTTTTTGACCGTGAAAGTTCAACATTGCAGATTCAACAAAAGTACAAAGCTGCCACTGGTTTTTTGCCATTTGTTTTCGAAGGTTCTTCACCCGGTGCTGGAAAGTTTGGCTATCTGAAAATATGCCTCCGGTCACGCTCACAGCATAAATAATTTCCAAGAATAAAGGTAATTTTAAAGACAACAGAAACCTCAAAATATAGTAGGTTTTTGCAACAAATAGACATTAGAAGTCCAAATAGAATCCCTTTCAAACTGTAGAATACATTAGATAGATAGGATTTGTTCGTTTAATACATTTCATCTTCATGGTCCCTAATAATTTGTTTGTACTAGGATGTTTGGATAATGATCCCATTTGGTCATGGAATAAATAAATTTATATCTCATATCACCCTGTTGAACTAGTTGAACATGATATCAAAACACAGCAAGAACATGATTTTAAGACTCATCACCACTCAATTTCATGTACCCAGCTGAGGTATAGGAAGAGGGGGGAAAGGAGGGTATCTATAAAAATATTTAAATGCTCCTTTTTTTTCCTTTTTTTTTTTTGGTAAAGAAAAACTAAAGTGACCTGCTCTTTTTTTTTTTTTTTT